AGTCACTGAAAATTAAATAATACCTCACAGGACTCATACAAAAAAATCAGGACTCTGTGGAAAATACTTGTTTTTCTGCAGCACCCAGATGCAACTAATGAATTAACAGTTCCAGAATACCGCCATGGTTACCAGATACTATTTGGGATCTGGCACTGGGTTGTGTTGAGTTGTCCTTTAACAGCAAGTGAGGTGGCCTTGGATAAGGTCCCTGGGGGCTCACTTGCTCCTAGACGAATGAGTACAAGTTGCACAGAGGAGCACTGTGCCAAGGCAGTTGGGTCTGTCCTCCACAGGATTTGTGCTTGGAACTAGAGAGAGGGAGAGATCACAGGGGTCATGTAGCTGGTTTATCTCCTTTGATCTTAGTAGGTCCAGCTATTTTGTGAAGTTGGAAGGAATTAACAGATAATTCAGGTTAATCACTTGAGATGTACAACATAACAACTTTTTCACATAGCATGTGATTTATTGCTACACATTCACGTATACATTGCTGTGGCAACCGCTGCTTTCAGTGGGGTGCATGTGAGACCACAGGCTTGAAATGCTGATTTTTTTTAGTTTCTTTGAAGGATTTTCAGAATGTGTCCTTTCTCACCTGCCCTCCATTTCCACTTCAATGTGGCTGTACTTCTAGCAGATATATATAGGATATTTTAATGTCTTGCTTTTCTAGTTTCATTTTCTACTGTTCTACCTTCTACTGGTCTAGTGTTTGTTGTAATTAAGTGAGAGCTTCAGACACATGCTTGATATTTATAGTAAGCTTGATACACCATTCCTTACATATTGAAACAGAAACTGGAAAAATTTATAATTTTGTTGGATTTTACATAGAGACAGACCCGGAGTCTACCACTGTTAAAGGTAACTCCAGCTTGCATGGCAGGTTGTACATGCAGTGGATCAGTTGTCACAGCAGTTGTGGTAACCCCTGTGGTTCTAGAGTCCTGAGTGACTCCTGAGCAGCTCAGGTGCCTGTCCCCTGCAGTGGCTGTGTCGTGTCACCAGCAGCACAGCTGCAGCTCAGGGGCTGCTGTCCGACCCAGACCCTCACTGCATGAGGAGACAGGACTTAACAAAAGTAACGTGCAAATTCTGCAAAGTCCAGAAGCACTGGGTTATTTTTGGTCTCAGGGACTCCGGTCAACTACATGCCAATTATCAGGGTATTCTGGAATCCTGGTGGAGCCACTGTAACCTCCCATTTATGAATCAGTCCAAAAGATTCACTTCTGCTTGGCTGCCCAGTATTTGTGGTGTGTGTCCTGTAGTTCTTATGGAAGTAACTGATCTGAGACTTAGGAGGAGAGGAGCACCCATGTCCTGTATAATGTGGAATTGAGCACAAAGCTCTCTAAAAAGGGAATTTATTTATTTTTTTTCCAGTTTCATATTTTCTTCCTATGATTTTCATTTTCCTTATTTCATATGCTTTTCGCTTACAACACCTTTGTATTTTACAGTTGTAACATACTCTGGTTTGTTGTAGTTTTTTTTCTGTTATCTCATTCCTTTCTTATTCTCTCTGTTTTTCATTTTCAGTTTTTAGGAAGGGACAGTGTTCTAGTTCACTCTCTTGGTCGGAATACTTTTTCACCATATGGAAAGTGTAAAACATGCAGTACAGTACTGTTTTTCCAGTTATTTATTCCTGTGGTAATCAAGTTTGTGCCTGCAGTTTCTTTATGCTATATTATGCACAGAATGCATTTTATGATCTACATTATAAACACAGAGTTTGCAGAGGGTGCAGTGATACCTAAGCACCTAACACCAGACCTCCTACTCATTGAATTTTCAGATTAAAAAAAGCAGAATTTTGGGGGTTGAATGTGATATGTGATTCTGCCTCATCAGTGTTTATTCAAGGTCAAATGCTGTATTATAAACAACATTTAAGTTTTTAACATCAAAACAATATTATCACTAAATTACAGTGTTTGCTTTTGTTGCTGTCTTACATTGAATTGTTTAACATTTGATTAGGAATAATAGAAATATTTTGAACAGCTCAAGGGCTGGATTAGCAGTAGTGAGATTTGGGAGAAAGTGTTGTTCTCAGTGTGGCTCTATGCTGGAAGATGTGTTTCTCCTCTCCTCACTTTTCAACTCATCTTCACTGCCTCAAGTCTAATTAATCAATCATTATGTGGGTGAGGTTATTTCTATACAAACAGCAGAGATATCCACAAAGATCTGTTCTTGCCAATTTAAATGAAGCATTACTTCTGCAGAAGCATGAGTCTGGCTGCCTCCCAAGTACCTGGACTAAAAAAGAAATAGCAGCATTTATTATTATTTTAATTACAGAACTGACAGACTCAAGCCAGTGGGAGAGGAGAAAAAGGCAACAGCAGGAAATGTGTTGGCTGTTTCTAACCTAAGCAAGAGAGGAAGAGATACAAGGAAATGACCAAAAAACCCAAAGCAAACCAAATCAAACCAAAACGACAAAAACCCACACCACAACCCAAACCAAACAAACTAACAAACCCCACATTTTTTCCTTACCCTACAAGAAGTAGGATATAGTGCAGTTGTGATGTCAAGTTTTCCTCACCATCACCCATAAAATCACAGATTAGCATGTATTGAACAGATACGAGCTAACTGGTTCAGTTTGTGAGCTGTATGCAAATATGTATTAGACCTCTTCATGTGTAGCATATGGTTGAGCTTTGAGTGAGCTCAAAAACTTCTACTACTAGATAACCTCAAGACCAACTGAGCATATGTAGTAGATTGTGTTATCTTGCAGTTAATATGTAGGGATTTAAAAGTAGGTACAGTTTTAACTGTATGAGAAACTGTAATAATGGTGGAGATTTCAGCCTTAGCACTACTAACTCCTTTGCCAGAAAGTCTGATAAAGTTTACATCCACTCTGAACCTGCATTTGGACATTCCAAAGAGGGCAGCACACCCCTTTGGCCGAGGAGCCATATTTTTTTTCAAAATACTTTTGTATTTAATGACAGGTGATACTTTTGATTGAAAAGTGGTAGCCATTAATTGGAGCTGCAACAGTAACAAGAGAAATGTAAGCTTTGGAGTTAATAGAAATCAACCTAGCTTAGAAAGCTCACACAGAGAGCCAAGGGGCAAATGCAAGCAGAAACCTAACTAAGTCATTATATCTACAAAAATAATGAGAACTTGGTTCTTCTCACAGCTAGTGTGACTCCTCTTGGCTCCAGACCAGAAATTCTAAAAGTCACTGGCAGGCACCACAAATAAATGTGTTTTTCAGGTAA